CTACTACGCGACGCTTCTCCCTCTCTCTCTCTCTCTTTCTCTCTCTCTCTTCTCTTTCGAGCTTCCTTCTTTTATTTTACCGTGTGTGCCCCGCACAGGCCTCACCGAGATTCCGATCGCGAAAACCGATTTCAGCGGGCCTACTTGAGAAACATCGAGGGATTTTCTGGGTGAGATACGGTGGACTCTTTGCATCAGCAAAGAAGTCGAATGATTTCTCAAGTGTTCCTTCTGGTTCTGTTCAAGATAATTTGTGTCGAACGGCGAAATTTTTAATTAGCTCGCGAAGATCAAACGTATCTGCTGTTTATTTCTATTTGCATTTATCTATTGCGTACAGCAATTTTAGAGAAGGGGATGAAAACAGGGGGTTATTAAGTTTCTCTCGTTTTGGATGCTTTCATTGAAGCTGGAGTTACCATGTGTATTTAGTAGTCTTCTTTTTATTCAATAATTTCCTCGTCGAATGAAATTTAAAGATTTAGGCAACTAGTTGGCTTTGAAGCTTTTCAATAATGGAATTAACATTAATTAACACAGAAGAGTTCATGTTAGTTCCTTCTAATTTTTAAACATATATTTTAGGGGTCGTCGAGTAGAGTAACAGAATTATTTCGGATAGATCATGAAAATGAAGAACAATGTACGTAATTTTTGAACAACTTTCCAAAAAGTAGAATGGAACAAGCAAAAGTATGAACTTGGAGTAGTCTTTAAGCCCATTTTATATAATCTGTCTATAAGACACTTCCATTCCCATTTAGCTACTTTTATTCACAGTACAACGTAATTTTCAAAAATCAATTTTAATCATTTCTGATTCTATCAATCTGATTATTAACATGAAATTTGCAACTTGGAATTAAAAATTTTCCCGCGATGCATCGAGGAATAGCTTCGGCAAGTCTACTGCACGCGCCATCTACATATACGCCTCGAAGATAGCAATTCTCCTCGCTGGGTGGTAACGCAGATCTCTGCACTGAGCGGCCGTCGACAAGAATCGATCGTCTCGTTTAATTTCAAAAATCGAGGACAAAAAAACACGCTTTTTCTCCCTTTCTTAGACGCTTTTACACTCACATTTCATCGTGTCTTATCTCCTTGCAAATATATATTAAAAACAACCACTCGAAATGACACTTTGCTTGATGACTTTACCGATCGTGTAACCGTGTCGGCTTTTCCCCAAACCGGAAACTAAAGAGATACCTTCCGAGACCCGACATCCGCCATTTCGCTTAATTTTTTCTTTCTTCCCAAACGAAACAACCGCGTAAAGAAATAATAATCGTTCTTTCAATTAACCTTCCACGTTAATAAAAAAAAAGAAAGAAAAAAGAAAGAAAGAACCGGCGGCAAAAAGTAAAAATAGACAAATGTGAGAGGTCAGGAGAGAAAAGATAAACGCGAGGAACAAAGGCAACGAGGCAGCGATAGACGAATGACCAACGATAACAGTGTCAATGAACAAAAGTTACGAAACAATGGGCCGCGATAATAAACGATGAAAACAACGAGAGAAGACAGATATTTAAAAAAAAAGAGAAAGGATGATAGGGGAAAAGGAACGTGAAATTAAAAAAAAAAAAAAAAAAAAAAGAGAGAAACGTAAAATGAAAAACGAGATTTCACCCTCGCCGCTGGTTTAAACGACGATGAATTTTCACCGTCGTCGAACCGCGGACCAATCACCCCGATTCCAATTATCCCCGGTCGTGTCCCGTTAATTCCCATCGAACCGATCGAACGTCTATCGACCATCTCCGACCATCTTTCGCCCCAGCATAATCTAAAACGTTTTGTCGTCGGGAATCTAATCTAATACAGCTGGCCCTGGAAGGTTATACTTTTATTGGCGCGTCTATTGGGCTTAACGAGGTCAATTGAGGTGATACGGTTGCCTTGATTTTACGATAGTCCGTCGTCGGAACGATAACGATACGAAAGCACCCGGGCGTCGCGAAATCTTCCAGTTTTAATGTACGCACGCGTGTTGTCGTTCGTGTTACCAGCGCGGGATCGATAGCGATCGCGTATTCACGATCGACAACGCGCACGCGTTTTTTGTCCCTCCTTCAGCTGAAGTTTTTGTTATTGTCGTAATGTGAAGGAGTCAAGCAAGAGTTAGAGATTTAATGGAGACAAATCGGATGGTTTGATTTGAATTTTATAGCGAGATCCATAGAGTTAGAGATTGGAGACAAATCGGATGGTTTGATTTGAATTTTATCGAGAGATCCATAGAATTAGAGATTGGAGACAAATCGGATGGTTTGATTTGAATTTTATCGAGAGATCCATAGAGAAACACATAGGGAAATCTTTACGCTGGTGTTTAAGATTGGCAATAAAATTGGCTGAGATTGACGCCAGATGCAGGTTGATTTGGTTTGTTCTAACGAGAGTTTTCACTTTGTTTCAGCACCTGTATCACCTGCAAACAGGCGAGGGTGCGTTCAGAGAGAGGGGGAGGGGTCGAGGCAAAGGCACGACCAGGGTAAGTCCAATGTTCTACCATTTGTTGTTTCACTTTACAAGGACAATAGAGACGTAGAAATGAAATTGCGAGGGAATTTTAATTTTGATCCGGTACTTGCGTCAAATTTCTTGGATTTTAATATCTCCTCGCGCGAAATCGCGAAAGAGGTATCTCTTTGAGCAAAGGAGCTATCTCTTGCTACAGTTCCGGTAGACTGTTCGAGATTGAATGAAAATATTCAGGAACTGAAATTGGCCCGCGAAACGCCTGGAATACGGCGAACGCTCGAAAAATAAGGCGAACGTGCAAATGGTTCGTTCTGTTCCACAGTTTTACGATCTATCTTATATTCTTTTTCGAGCGAGATTTCAAAGAGAGGCTGATATATATATGCATTTCGAGCACGATGTCGCGCGTTTACGCCCTGGATCTCGGTTCCAGTACCAGCACCGACTTTTTCTTTTTCATATATATATATATATATATAATTATTTATATATATATATAATATATATAATTATATATATATACTTTTTTCCTTTTAGTTTTCTTTTTTCCTCTCCTCCATTTCACTTTTTTGTTTCTCTTATTTCTCTCTTATTTTTCGTTACTTTTTCTATTTCCACTCTCTTTCCCTGTTTCTTTTCGACGAGCTCTCCTCTTTTTCGAGCGCACTCGGCTCGCCACTTAACCGTCACGTTTCTAATTCTAGAAACGTGGTAACGCACGAGTAAACGGCCTCGTGTTTGCCGTCACTCGAAAGACACCGCTCGTCGCTCGCCCTTGGAAATTCTAGAAAATTTCATTCCCCCTCCGATAGGGTTTCTCTACAGTTCGTTAATCGCGGTTATAATTTTCCATGCGGAAATCGAACGTATCTTCGATCGATGTCGTAGGACTGCGAATGGAGGAAATTTGGAAATTTATACCGTCTCATTTTTACTTCGTAAACTTGTCATTCGATTTCATCGATTATACATGAACGATATCGAAAATTAACATGAATTACTCGTGTTTGTCATTGATATTTCGCAAACTCATCACTTGATCATTCTGTTGTTCGATTAATTATTAATTGAATTATAGACGATTTGAAGAAGAACTTTTATTTACAGCGTATTACTTTTACTTGACGGACATTCGTCGTTTCGTTATTCATTGCGACATAGTATCATAAATTGCAAGGTGCAAGTTTGTAATCTACAAATTGTATGTCGCTAAGTACATAACAGGTAAATGAGTACCAATTGAATTGACAGGTTTTAGCCGTCTGAAATTAAATAACAACGAAATGAGATTTCTCGTAAATTTCTCTTTAAATTACTCACACGAATCTTGCAAAAATTCGTTATCACTAGACTATGCAGATCTTCACGCATTTGTCGAAAGTTTAAATGTACGAAATTGCATAGAATATACGTAAAAAAAAATATATATATATATGTATATTTTACGTACATTCTATGCAATTTTGTATATATAAATAAATATATATATATGTATAAAATATATATATAACCATATATATGTATAAAATATATATATAACTATATATATGTATAAAAAATATATATATATTTATATTAAATTATATTATATTAAATATATATATTCGTATATTTAAGTTATATATATATATATTTTTTATACATATATACAGTTATAATATATATATATTTTTAATAATATATATATTTATATTATTTATAAATATATATATTATTAAAAATATATATTATCACTGTATATATGTATAAAAAATATATATGTATAAATATATATATATATATATATATAAAACATTCAAGATATAATATGCTTCGTATAACATTTTCTTTCTTGTTCCCAATTTCATTTTGAAAAATGTGAATTTGTATGAAGGTTCGTAGCCTAAATTGTCACGTTTCTTCCTCTCCACTTCGGCTGCAATCCAAACAACGAAACATAATAAAATTGCCAACGCGTAGCTTACATTAGCCGGATTTTTTCATTAGCGCACAGGCGATCCACAGCGTTTTTCCGTCGACATTTCCTCTTTATTTTTTATATTTTATTTTTTTTTCCCTCCCCCTCCCATCCTCGTTGTACACAAACGCGTGAACGTGCTCGACTCGAGGAGGACAGGGCCACGTGAGAATCGTGGCGGGACGAGATGGCGGAAAAAGAAAAAAAACAACGTGGGGCGTGTGGTCCGAAGCGAACGGCCCGCGTTATGTTTGCTTTGCAGCTGCGTGAACAGCGGCGGTGCTTTTTAAACAAAACCGCGGTGGTCGCGCGACGTCGGCTAATACGAGGAAATTTGATTGTCTTGGCCGGGGGCTCGCACAAATTTTCCCACCTTTCCCACCGAATCAGAGTACAAACACACACGCCGGCCTGGAGAAAGATAATTTCGTGGGTAAATTGCTGAAAATCTACTGTACGTTACGTGCAAACGAATCGCGGACGATAAATTTTGACAAAAAATGATTCTCTTGATATTGCGAATGACAATTACGTATTACTACCGTGTTAATACCGGAACAATTTGAAGTTTGAATATTTTCGTTGAATATTTTATAGAACACGAAACAGTATATTTTTGGAGACTTGAATGACATAATCACGAAATACATAAATAAAAGCTTGTGCTGTACAATCCTTGTTGTGCCATAAAGATCTTCTGTTTTTCATTTATTTTAACGTCTCCGATGGAAAATTTCATGCTTTGGTCGTCGGTAATTCTGGCGTTAATCGAAACAACCGTGATGACGAATAACATTCAGTGTTTAACCTGTTTGATACAGGTATGGTGCCTAAATTTAGCCAACAACGTCTATAATTTGTTGATAATTATAACGTGTACATTGAGAAGCTATAATAACGACGTTCAGAGTTAACGAAACAATTTCAGAAAATGACAATGCTGTGTCAATTGACACACTCGTTGAAATAATTCGTGTGACTTCTTATTGCTTCCTAGGAACGTTCAAAAGATGGAGGATATTATTTTCCCAGAGATTGAAACTACTTAGGTGTCATTGACTCTTGTGTGTTATACTTGCTCTATCAAAGCCGCAGTAACTTGTTTGAAATTTTAAACAATAATATCACACGTTAGAAAGATCCGAGACTTTCGTATTAAATACCATAATTTGAACGATTATTTCCAATGTTACATCATCTTTTATTTGAAGCGATGGTGCTTCGTAAATAAATTGATACAAAAACTTCCAGTATACAGTGAAGAATATAATTGTGACCATGAAAAACTGTCGACAATTCGAATTAATACAACTTCGTAAAGAAAGATCGTATAACGAGCCGCTCGGTCTCGTTTTAAAGCGTGAGGCTTCTACTTTGACAATTCCGACATCGTTCTTCCCGGAGATGATTTTTCATCGGGTAATGATTTTAATAACGATAGGGGAATAACTGTTCGCTATTAGAAGAAAAATAACGTATAATTTATAGCGTATATATTTTAACTGCAGTATTTCAACGTTATCTTCACGACAGAACTTTCATATCCCTGCCGTCTTCGTGGTTTTTAACGATGCGACGTGTGACGACAGTAACGAGCTGATCGACGAGCAAGAAATAAATTAATCGTAAACTCCTCTCGCCGCACACGCGGGATAAAGTAGACAGAACTTTTACAAGGAATCGCCGCCATCCGATTCCTCTCCAACGCGTGTTCCACGAGACTCGTAAAACGTAGTAGACAATTCTACCAGCCATAAAATCCGTCCATAAACAATTTCTCCTATCGCGAGGATATTCCTTCTCCACTTTATGTCTTATCGCCGATATAAAGTACAATAATTCTAAGAGTAGAAGAAGAAGAAAAAAAAGGAGAGAATCTCTTTTCGTACATTCGAAGAAGCAAGCCAATAAAAAGAGTAATAGATTTTGCAAAACTAACAGAGTCGGATATTTCTGGTAAACAAGAAAGCCAAGCCGGAGAATCGCTAAAGTGATAAAGAAATAAATAGAAATTTCACACTCTCGGAAGAAAAAGTACACGGGATTCTATACCGTTAGAGTATAGAAGAAATCGAAATCTATTTTGAACTTGAAGATGCTGCTTGCTTCAATAAAAATGTTCAATCAGCGAGAAAGTTACTTCCGACCGAATTGTGCTTCGTTGGAAAATTTCTTCGATTTACAAAGAAACAAAGAGAAAAGGTGTGCAAGGATTGGTACATCTGACTTCTCGTTTCACTTGTATGCTGATGATTCTCTTCGAGCGCCAACCGACTCCTTTTCGTCGAAAATTGAAACGAGATTGATGTGTGAGGAACGAAGAAACGACCCCTCCTCTTTCTCGTAAATAAAACAAAAGGAAATCTTTCTGAATTGCGTCTCTCTTAGACAAATAAATGAAGAGTCCATAACTTTCAGATTCCATCGAAGAAAGGAAAGAAAAAGAAGAAAAAAAAAAACAAATCTCCAAATTCAAATTCAAAGTGAATCTGAATTTATATTATTAAACTCTCTGGAATCCGGCCGATCCTTCTTTCTCCGCGTTTCCTCGGTGGTTCGACGCGGAAATAAAAGTGAATAAAATTTCGAATAAATTTCTCGTCGGTCGCGGAAGAGCCACGGAGGAGTTTGAGAACTGACATTAAGCAACCTGCTACGGTGGTGTAGGTAGTATTGATCGAAACGAAAGGCGCGTGTGCGCGCTGCACCGCCGTGTTTCAAATGTGCTCCAGCTGCAAGTGTAATCTGGCTGCGTCGTCGTTTGCATTTCACCTTGCTGTTGCAATGGAAGAAAGAAAGAAAGAAAGGAAAAAACGAGAAGAAGAAGAAGAAGAAGAAGGAAAAAAAAAATAGAAATAAAAAGGAAAAAGTCTGACACGTCTTCGCGGCAAGCAGCTCGCCGTTTTCTGCCAATTTATTCGTCGCCATTTATCTCGAGCCGATACGCAACGAAAACACGCGCTTGTTTCTTTCTTTCGCGCCTTCCTTTTCACGCGGACGCGCGATCCATTTTTCAGCGGCCACTTCCGGCGAAAGCACTCGCGGCAACCTTC